AGTCATTTCATAATTTCTGCTTTTTTTACGTCACGGAACGCGAAACAAACATCAAATTTACACCAAGGGGGGCGAAATAAGCTTAAAGAAAAGTGGCCACTGTGAATGAATGACGGAAAGGGACCGTCTTCAGAAAATTCACAAATAATTTTGCACCCACAGCTAATCTAAGACATCGTTAGCACGAACTGTGGCAGTCGCTCTCTATGCTCAAGTGACGGCCGTACAAATTAAACACACTCAACGAACGACAGGTTCATTTCTAATAAAACAATAACATCTATAGACGATAGCAACTCCTCGCCAAAACTGGGATAACAGAAACAAGTGCCTACATCCGAAGCATCATTCTAACACAACAGATGTATGTTCAGCGAAAGTCTCAGTTGTCTATTTCCCTATGATAAAAAACAACTACTACCTACCTGACAAAGTGTCCCGTTTAACCAATTAACTGACTGTCAAAGGGGTTCCGAATTCGGCGGTCCTACTTTTCCATGGTGACTGTCGCAAGCGTAGCACTGTACTACAAAACTGGAGTTTGATTGTTAAGTTATGTTCAAGATGAAACGATATATAAAACTTCACTGTTTCCTAGCAAGTGAAGCCAATGAGCGAGTCAATGTTTATTTTGTCCAATCAGAAACGGTGACATGCAAATCATTCAATAAATTTAACTTATAGATTGAAGCTCCATTTGAATGCTGGCGCTGCGGCTTCCTTTCAGTCAACGTTAACAATTCCGAATGTGATATTTCTGAAGCTGATAAATTATTTTCATATGCATTTCACATTCTTTGATCATTTTTCTTATGTTTTCGGCTGTGTTATATTGACTGAATTTTCCTTACGTACGAAACTTAAAAAAATTCGGAAGTTTTTCGTTTTTCATTGCATAACGCGCACGTTGTATTGTGCGTTGAGTGGATTTTTTCTGTATTGGTAACCTTGCGCGATCGATGGGAAAATATCGTATACCTGTTTCGAAGGCAAAGCATGTCATCATATCCGAACATATGCGGCTGGATATAGATTAGTTTAATCTTTAAAATTTACATAGCAATCAAAAACCTTCCCAAAACCACACAACTGTTCAGACGCTATTTCAAATTTTTGAAATCGTTAAATATTTTAAAATTTTTTGATTTTCGGGGAAAGAAAAACCCATTAATCTATCATGCAGTTCGCTATTCCAAACGAATTGAAGAGATTGAAAAATCAAAATTTTTCTAATTGTCCCAGTCATTCTCGATGACCGCTAATCATTTTGGCCCCGGAAGTAGAAGCTTGTCATGCAGTGGTAGAGCTTCCCAATCCTGTGGCAGCGTTTGAGCTTCTGTAGAAGACAATTTGAGTCTGGAGCAGAGTCTGTTTCAAATCATTACTGGCCGCATCGGGGTCTTTAGTCGGTGATGTCCACCAGGTAATCGATGTATTGCCTTCCTTTCTAGATACGGAAGATGTGGGTATGGCATCGCAGCTATGACTCTCAATCTGGAGAAGCGTTGGCTCTAGACGAACTACCTGATATTTCTATTCCAGATCATTTTGAAATGCTGGAGCGCAGAAATTCATATGAGAAAATCCATTCATCTGTAGCAGGGATTTAACGTTTTAGTCATGGTAAAAGACCCGTGACCACAGGAAGGCATCAGAATAAAGATGCAGTTGGACATAGACTGCTAGTTTTAGACTCAATTCTGTTTTCGTTACAACGATTATGGCTAATTCAGGCAGCCTCAGGGATGCTTTAATGGAAGAGTAATGTTGTGAAAGTGTTACCACTGGAGAAACTGTGACCTTTTGTGACTGAACAAAGAATTTTTGAAAAAAAAATATCGTTCAATATTGCAACTGGATGACTGACTTTATAAAAATAACACCATGTCGAGGTATAAAAAACGTGGGATTACGCTTTATTAACTTCAGCTGCTATTTTGACGCATTTTTAAAGGTTTAAAAACTCTATGAAATTTTTCCAAATATATGGCTTACAGTGGCTGCTCCGAGGTAGATTGCCCTTTCGATGCAGTACTCTTCATGTTAAGGAATCATGTCATTACATAGTATTCGAGCTAAATACTCTGAAAATAAACTTAAGCAACAAAAACAAATACGACTGACTAATCAAATGATCAAAGTTTACCTAAACGACGTTGTTTTCAATCATAATTTTGATTTTACGATTTGCACGTTTTTAAGATACATATCAGTAATTATTGTATATTAAATTGTACTTGCAAATCATATTTATGAAATATTCCAACTAATTGTCAACAGGGATCATAATATACCAGAGCGCATTTGAGAGAAACTTTGATGATCAGAACGGTAAGTTTCATTGGTGAAAGTATACACGCACATGTCAGTTATAAGTTTTTTTTGTTGTTAGTAAAAGAACATTTCGAAGAAAACATTTCTTGGACGTGAACCAGTATTAGTTTTCGCAGAGTGTCTCTTGAGTCGGCGGATGATTGAGTCAGCGTATACTCCGCGTTTTCTGTTAATAGGCATTAATGTTGTCGTCTCTTGAGTCGGTGGATGATTGAGTCAGCGTATACTCCGCGTTTTCTGTTAATAGGCATTAATGTTGTCGTTCGTTCGGAAGCGGAATTTTCGATTTAGAGAAATGATGGTGTTTAACAGTATTGCCTTGCGTTTTAGGAATATAATTCTTGTCTCAGCATCCTATCCTCCCAGCTTGACTTGTAGCCTGAGTGATCGTCATTAAACAGGTACTCTTTATAGGCATTAGTTGATCGGTCTGTTCCGTTCACCGGCATTTTGGCAATTGTTCTGTCGAGGTTCATAGCCGGGCGTTACATTTGGGTCATGCTTTAGTGTATGGGCAGAAAGCGATTAATCCCCGTCGGTTTGTTTGTTGAGATTGTCTTTTCTTACCATTTCGATATTCACTGCCGGTCATCAGACTTAAGAAACAGAATACATTAACCACTTTTCTTTGTTATAGAATATGAACATGTTGCTCGCTCAAATGGCAGCTAAGGTGATGTTATGAAGGCACATTGTAATATGATGGCATATATTAGTCCTATGTATTTAGCCATATTTTAGATATGTAAACTTGAATAGAGCGAAAATCCCGCTAGTTTTCAATACCATCAATAAGAATAACGTTCTTTGTGTTCATATGCTATCACCTTGGCTCTAGTAGCTTGAGGGATTGTTTAAGCAGACCACGGCTTCATGACATTTTAGCATCTGTAGTGGATAGGCGCAAAACAGCGCCACTTGTTTGGTGAAACAGACATATTCGGTTGTTGTTCGAAAGTTTAGGACTAATGCTGGGCTTAATCCTGATCGAATATATGAATGGAAGTCTAATCATAAAATTAAGCTAGAACTAAGCTTTAGCTTAACCTTAAGTCCATGCCGGTTTATGAGTCAGCTGGTTGCCGACTTTGTCGCTTCTGCCCTGATGATACTTCCAGTATGGCCGAAAAATGTATAGGCAAGAAATTTTAAGGCCTGCTTTTTATGGTGTGCTGAACCATAGGTCGTCAAATTTGTTACACGAAATTCAACTTTTTGGCAAAGGTGCAGTTATGAGATATTTGACATTTATAATATAATTGCGGAACTCTGTGCATTCGGCTGTTCAGACCTGATTATAATATATTTTGTTTCAATTGGAAATATAAATTAATTAATCAATGAAAATATCAAAAGAAAGTCTTTTGAAATGTCATGACCATTGGGACAATACAAACATGTATTTACCACCAACCTACGTTTCGGACGTTATTTATGAGCATAAGAATGGATCGAAATTGGCTTACAACATCAGCTGTTAAAGATATGTATGTAAATAAATCTTTCTTGCAATAAATAATGTCATTCGGTGTTCATCGCCAAAATCTTCAGACGGTTTCACAGTTTCTCACAAAAATGTTTAATGAACAAATTTCCGACCTCAGATCGAGTTGGATCCAAATTAGGGAGGGGGATCATTGTGGTGATAAAATAATGTCAGCAATCTGCGCTGTCTGAATTGCTCATTTCTTTGCATTTGTTGTGTAATGTCCAGTGAAGATTGATCCAGCTCGATCCAAAAGGTCGAAATTTATATGCGGAATAGACCATTTGAAGATTTTGGAAGTGAAGAAAAACTTCCCATAAGCATAAAAATTCCATAATATAGGAATCTCTTTAAAATCGTTCACTGCCGTGCGGGGTCTCTACCCATTCTTCTATCCGAGGTTAATAAATAGGTTCCAATTTGTGGGAAGGAAGCAGGATACTAAGCCCTACCCTTGCCACATGGCTGATGGCACGGGAACGAAGATCAGCACCGAACCATCAACCTCATGAAAAGAAGGCTGCCAAAATCGCTTAAGCATTTCGATAATGAACGACGACCGACATTCCAATGGTGACCAAGTTTCCTTTCATCTTTCGTTCAGAGCGACACACGATTAGAACGTTTACTGCTCTCTAGACGCTGTTCATTTGAGGAATGGAGCCAAAGTAGATTAGAATTCGGCAATGCAGTTTACAAGTTCCTGGATCGAATTCAAATACGGTTTGCATGTTTCTAATTATCCTCGAATTCGGTTGAGCAGATGAAGTTTCCTTATCCCACTCCCAGCAGTCAGTTGACAGGAAATCAGGATAACATGGTGTTGTTCATGTGGCTATGCAAACGCTGCGTTACAAAGTGCCATGCCGTTTAACGCGAGTGCATTTCAGCTGCAATTCGTCCTGATCCACCTGATTAATTAGCACACAGGTAAACAATGAATTAAAAATGTACAACAACCGAATATGCTTCGAGGCGTCAAGTTTTTATTGGCAAGGTTTATTCATGAGCTATTTTTCCTTCCTTAACGATTAACATATTTTCTCGAAGTGTATTAACTTTTGAAAATCATGCTTATTTTCAGGTCATTGCACAAACTGTTCTGCAGTCCGCTAAAAGAGTTTTTCCCACACCGTGCCGAATTCTCCTGCTGCCCAATTTTTGCTCGGTATTTCAAACGATGGCCACTGCAAGTTGTTCGTCTGGCGACAAAGTACCCAATCACCTGATTGGCGAACATTCGCCATACCTGCTTCAGCACGTGTATAATCCCGTGGACTGGTAACGTTTCTCCATTAAATAACTTTAAATAACTAACATATTTTTTATGCACTTCATAGCATGAAATAAACGACAAAAGGGAATATCTAGTACTGGACATGAATCCAATTTTTTTCCAAGTTTTTTCAGACAAGATGCGTATGTCCGAAATGTTGTGTCGACCTGGTCGATCATCTGTTCTTGCAAAACTTTAGTTGCCTCTTGCTACTAAAAATGACTCCTCTTAGGTTACTTGATGTTTTGAAGTTTGAAGGCTTACTGCTTGAATCGAGTCACGAATGAACTCCATTTTTCATCATATGAAAACATTACTTTTATCACAGTTACTGGTTGCACACAGGGAATAAATAGCAGTAGTATTTTGCATTCAGTATGCGAATATAGCGACTGCTTTCTTTGTTGATCGTGGGGTATTCGTAGAGCTTGGCGGGAATATTGTAACCTGCCAATCATCTACGGTGAACAGGGAATACTGTATAACATATTTCACGACAGAAAGCACCATAAATTTGCCCAAATGAGTCAAAGGAGCGATAAATTAGAACAGAGTAAGTATACGGAAATGTACGAGAAAGTATTTTGAGCTAAACTGCTAGATCAGGACTTCCATAGTGCAAAGTACATCAGAGCGATTACCAGCAAAGCAGATGAAAGGGAGAACCGACTGCTGTACCTACATACTAAACGACTTTTCAGCGTGTGCACAATAACCGTTTTTTTTCGATTTCCATAACCGTTTCTTCTTTTGGGTCGCGGAGGCAAACGCTTCAGACAGTGTTTCCAACGTTCCCGATCCTGTGTCAGGGTCTTAGCTTCGGTAGAAGACAACTGGATTATAGAACAGACTCCTTCAGTACACTCGCACCAGCTTAATCTTGGCCATCCTCGGGGTCTTCTGCCTGTCGGTTGAACAATTAAAAGTTGCTTCGCCCATCCCTTCTGGAGTCATTCGTAGCATATACCCAAACTATCTCCAATGTAACTTCTCAATCTGTAAAATCAGCTGCCTGTACACCGTGTATTCTTGTAATAACACCAGTTATAAACAGTCCATTTTTATGGTGACAGTCAGGAGAGCTCTTTAACTCTAAAGGGAAGAATTTTAAAAAAAAATATGATTAACTGCTGATGTAATTAAATGAGCTGCCCACTAAATATTCGCAATTGATATAAAG